ATACCTATGGGTGCGGAGGGGGTCACAATATAAATTGTACTTGTACTGTCCATCTGGATCAAACAAATTTTGAAAAAGATCAGAGGACAGGGCCAGGTGTGATGGCTCATGCCTGTAATCCTAGCACTATGGGAGGCCAAAGCAGGTGGATTGCCTGAGCTCAGGAGTTCAAGACCAGCCTGGGCAACACGGTGAAACCCCGTCTCTACTAAAATACAAACAAATCTAGCCGGGCGTGGTGGCATGCACCTGTAGTCCCAGCTACTCGGGAAGCTGAGGCAGGAGAATGGCTTGAACCCAGGAGGCGGAGGTTGCAATGAGCCAAGATCGCGCCACTGCAGTGCAGCCTGGGCGACAGAGCGAGACTCTGTCTCCAAAAATAAAAAATAAAAATCAGAGTACAAGACCTTTCATGTTCTCACGCAGCCCAGAATGTTACAAAAAAATGACTATTCTGCCCCCCATAAGGCTGACAGAAATGCCTCTCTCACAGAAACTGGAACCTCACTCTACTTCTAAGGATGCTGCCAAACTCAGTAGAGCCTCTCTGATGAGACAACGTGAATTCTGAAAAGTAATTAAAAACCTAACGTCAAACACTCACTGTCAGGTATTGTGGGGGCATAAATGGGTACAAACTTTCTGGAAAGCAATATGACAATGTTCACCACAATTCTTAAAATACGTGTTTTGTTTTTGTTTTTGTCTTTGTCTTTTGTTTTTGAAACAGTCTCGCTGTCACCCAGGCTAGAGTGCAGCGTCATGATCTTGGTTCACTGCAACCTCCACCTCCCAGGTTCAAGAGATTCTCCTGCCTCAGCCTCTCAAGTAGCTGGGATTACAGGTGTGTGCCACAACGCCCAGCTAAAGTTTTGTGTTTTTAGCAGAGACAGGGTTTCACTATATTGGTCAGGCTGGTCTCAAACTCCTGACCTCAGGTGATCCACCAGCGTCAGCCTCCTAAAGCGCTGGGATTACAGGTGTGAGCCACCGCGTCTGGCCAAAATATGCAAATGTTTTCCTGCAAGACTCCTCTCCTATGAATTCACTCTAAAAGAATAGCCACAGGGGTCCCCAAAGACAACACTCAGGGGTATTCAGGCAGCATTGCTTATGATAGGAAAAGTATGGATATAACTCAAATTTCCAAAAATAGGAGATTGGTTGAATAAATTGTGTTAGTATTCAGGCATTAAAAATAAGAAGTGAATGCATTTATTGACAAAGGAAGATGTTTATGAGATAATATTGTAATTTGGTGCAATTTATTTTTAAGAGAGGATCTCACTCTGTGGCCCAGGCTGGCGTTCAGTGGTACCATCTCAGCTCACTGCAGCCTTGACACCTCCAGGACTCAAGCAATCCTTCCACTCCAGCCTCCCAAGTAGCTAGGACTACAGGTGCATGCCACCACACCCAGCTTTTTTTTTTTTTTTTTTTTTTTTTTTTGTAGAGGTAGAGTCTTGTTAGGTTGCCCAGGCTGGTCTCAAACTCCTGGGTTCAAGCAATTCTTCCACCTTGGCCTCCCAAAGTGTTGGGATTACAGGTGTGAGCCACCATGCCTGGCCTGCAATTTTTTTTTAAAGAGAGAAAACTGCCATCTGCTTCTCACTGTGGGTAAAGAGAGAAAGTCACCTTTGGAGTAGATTTTGTATGTACTGAGTGACTGAGAGGCCCCTCCCTGTCAGCCACACTCACGTTCGGTGAGTCAGCACCATTGTGCTAGAGGTAAAGAGTAGCATCACCTTTACAGCTCGTCAGCCAGCAGTGATTGTGCCTCCCTGGGGACATTTTGAAATATCTGGGGATATTTCCGTGTGTCATGACTTTGAGTTGGGGGATGTTACTGGTATCTCATGGGCAGAGGTCAAGGATGCTTCTAACCAAACATCCTTCAAGGCATAAGACAGCCCCCAGTGCATGGTCCGCCCCCACTTTATTTTTGAGACAGGATCTTGCTCTGTCACCCAGGCTGGAGTGCAGCAGTGTGATCATGGCTCACTGCAGCCTCAATCAATGTCCTGGGCTCAAGTGATCCACCAGCCTCAGTCTCCCAAGTAGCTGGGACTACAGGTGTGTGCCACCACACACGGCACTTTTTTTTTGTATTTTTTGTAGAGATGGGGTTTTGCCATTTGCCCAGCCTGGTCTGGAATTCCTGAGCTCAAGAGATCCTCCTGCCTTGGCCTCCCAAAGTGCTGGGATTACAGGCATGAGCCAGTGTGCCCGGCTGCATGATCCCTTTTGATGCTGACTGTACCTGAATCAGGATCTGCCAGCAAGAAAAAAATACAAAAGGGCACGCATGGAGGACTAGGCCAATGACCTGTTTCAAGTATGTTCTGTTTTGTTCACTGCTGCCTCCTCAGCCCTGCTGGCACCCCATAGCCACTCAGATTAGAAGACTTCTCCAGGTCTAGAACAATATTCAACAAATGCTTGTTGAATAGAGCAGGTTGAATCAAGCAAGGGCATCCGAGAGCCTCCACCTGACTCTGCCAGACTGATGCTCAACAGTGACACCTTGTGGTGGGAACTGAAACAACCGTGCTGATGGTCACTAACACTTCTCCGTGGCTGGCGTTTGCAGAGCGCATCCCTTGGGACAGAAAGGCCCCAGAATTTGCAGATAAATCATGAGGCTAGAGAGAAGCAGGAAGCCTCAGGAAGATGATATTTGATGTTCTGCTAATAAAGACAAATGGGTATCTGAGCAATTAATGGAAAACATCCAGGAGGGATGACAATATATTTGGCCCCCAAACTGATACAAGTCACAGAGGTTATTTTATCAGGTGAAAAAAAAAATTTTAAGCAATATGTACGGATAATTCTAATTCTGTTTTTTAAAGTAAACATATATCCATTTGTCAGGAAAAATTATACCAAAATGATAACAGCAGTTACCTAGAGGGTGGGGCTTAGGGCGATTTTTTTAAAAATCTATTTTCTGGTTTATGTTACAATGAATGCAAATCACTTCTGTAAAAAAATAAAAATAAAAAAATAGAAGCTAGACATTGACCCAAAATGCAAAGGCACTTCAACATGTCTAAAGTAAAAAGAACTGGTCTCCTACACACACTCAACATTTTCATGTCCGGACCCTAATTATCCAGCACCAGATACCCTAAACCTCAGCAGGTCGTCCTGGGGCAAGAGTTCAAACCCAAGAACTGCCCTTGTCGGCATCTTCCGGCCTCCAAATCCCAGGTCCATGCTGCCTCTTCCTGCGTGTCACATTTGCCCCCCAGGGTTGACTGTCTCGTCCTGGCCTGCAGTGGCAGGCACAGGATGCCGAGGGACCGTGGCAGCTGTTCTGGGGACATGTCTCCACATCCCCGGCCCCAGGGCCTGCTCACCTGACATGTGGACATTCCTGAGGCA